AATGGGAAAAAGTTGTCAAAGTCTGCTGTTACCTCAATTTTTAACATTATCGGAGCTGTTCAGAGCTCCTCCCTGGAAACTGTTCTGAACGAACATAATTATGCCGTCCCAGCTATTCAAAAGCTAAAGAAAATGTATGACGGAAACACGAGCAAAAAGAAAAAATTCCAAAATCAGAGTTATTCCCTCAAAGCTCAAAAAAGAAAACTCGACGAAAAAATTCGCAGTCTAGAATCCGTGATTGTCGAAATAAAAGACAAGTTCTCTTTACCAGAGGAAACTATAAACCTTCTTCACAGTTCAGCAAGTAAAATTCCGGAGGAGTTGTTTCAAAGAGTAAGGTGATGATCCTTCTTTAATTGTAAGAAAAGACAGAGGTGGACTAATATATCCAGGAAAAGACATTGTAAAGATTTGTGAAATTACAGAAAATTATAGAAATTATTTACAAAGAAAAACATTTTGCACCTTCCGTGTGTAAAGGTTGCTTCGGTAATAACAATTCAGTTTTCTGACACCTTGTCTAAGTGTAACCATCAATCCATGCACAAGTATGTTCTCAAGAAAATCTGCGTCTTCTATGCAATTATACGATTAAAATATTTGTCGAAAGAAGAAAATAATGAGTGAATAAAAGTAGACTTAGAAAAATTATTCTTATTCAAAACCAGTGATTGTGATTGTAGACAAAATTTTTTTTATCAATAAAGTTTGATGTCATCATGCACAACGTTTTTAAATCTAGGTTTATAGACTGTTTTTTTTTATCATTTATGAAACAAAGGAACTAAGATTTTGCCACAAACACTGATTTTTAAGCCACTTATCTTTACAACTTGATGGCCTTTGATATTTAAAACGACATGAATTTGAGTTTTTGGGAAAATCTCTGATTCTTTATTAAATTTTCTCTATAGAGAGAGCAAACATTTTTATCAAATAGGTATCTCTTTTTTGAAAAAATCCACCTGACACTTCTTGACTTTCAGAAAAGAGTCATTTTTTACAGAGCCGGAGTTGTCAAGGAAAAATCAAAAATACCTCAGAACTTAAAAATAATTGAGCTATGACCCTTAAATGTTCTACCTTAACCCCTCCCCCCATAATTTGATATTCTCAAAATAAAATTCACTCCTGAGTGGTTTAATAATTATTAAATCCATTAAAACACCAAACCACCCCACTTATTGAAGTACACTTTGACCCGTAAAAAGTAAAAGTATGAGTTCGCGGACTGTACAGTGTACAATTCTTTGTGATTTTGCGTACATAAGCTATCTATGTTTATTTATTTATCTATGGTCCATGCATTCATAGCAATGCCGCGTTGAACAAAGACGATATAGAAATCATCACTTAATTCCCATGTTTATTGGTACACTCTGTAAAAGCATGAAGCCTAATATACAATTCCTTTGCAATGAAGATGCTCCATATGGAATTAATAAACCCTGGGATAATTAATATAAACTGATGCCTCATCTAATATAATTACTCCCCGTACAGGCTTTTTTAATTACATAGCAATTGAATTAAACACAATTATATATCTGCTTATGAAAAAACTTCTTTGATGGGGAAAAAAAAGTCCTTAATAGTTAAGGCCATAGATAAATAACAATACAGATAGAACACTAGATGTCGTCTTTTCAATAGGTAAAAGGTATGCATTATTTTTTCACTTTTTCTGGTTATCACTGTATAAATTTGACTTGTTAGTCCGTGTGTCTGTTTGTGTCCAATACACATCAAAACGGCTAGACCGATCGGGTCCAAATTTCTGTGGCAAGAACTTTTTAAAACAATTAAAACAAAAAAATCAATGGAGCGCTTTTTACTCTTTATTTTGTCTGTTAGTATTCAAAAAGTATTTATTAAAAAAAGTGAAAACTTCTTTATGGCAAATTTTCGCGAATTTTTTTATTTAAATTGGTGAATTTTAGTCTGATAGGTTGAGTCGTGGAAATATATAATAGATAAATTGATGAAATTCTCAATTATAAGTTTTGGTTGAATAAAGAGTTTTTCTTAAAAACTAATAAATTTATGAAGTGAATGCATAATTTTGTATGTGTGCATAATGCACGGATATAATTCTGATAAATTACCCCCACCATGACTTATAAAAGCATATGTCGAATATTTTACAGTACATACAATACATACAATACAAAAATACAATACATTCATGTCCATAATATACTATACATACAATGAATAAAATACAATACAAAACATACAATGCATACAATAATCTATACATGCATAATTCATACAATACATACAATGCATACAATACAATACAATACAATACAATACAATACAATACAATACAATAAAATAAAATACAATATAATACAATACAATACAATACAATATACAATACAAATTATTTAATGTTTTTTTTTAATCTGAGAACTCAATGCACTGAATAATTAATTTCTGAGCTCATCTACTCATTAACGAATACTTGCATAAAAGGTTAAATGTTTTATTTTCTTCATAATCCGTTACTTCAGAACTCAGAGTTTCTATGAAGGTACAATTATAAGAAGAGATTAAATTACACATTTTTCATTAATTCTGAGAATTAGAAATTATCAACTATCACCCACGTTAAAAATGTCATTTACAGTGGTTCTGGTGAACAAGAAGATTTTACAGTGGTTCCGTTGAACAAGAAGATTTTACAGTGGTTCCGTTGAACAAGAAGATTTTACTGTGCGTTCCGTTGAACAAGAAGATTTTACAGTGGTTCCGTTGAACAGGAAGATTTTACAGTGCGTTTCGTTGAAAAAGAAGATTATAGTTGTATTTTTTTTCCCTTGTTTACAGTGGTTCCGTTAAACAAGAAGATTCCTTCACGCACGCTAGACTACTATGGTCTTTTCTCACGCTTGACTAATATTGTATTTTTCTCACTTAGACAAATATTGTCTATCTCTCTCCCTAGATTAATATTGTCTTTTTCTCACGCTAGACTATTATTCTTTTTCTCACGCTTGACTAATATTGTCTATGTCTCACGCTAGTCTAATATTGTCTATCTCTCACGCTAGACGAATATTGTCTTTTTCTCACGCTAGACAAAAATTGTCTTTTTCTCCCGCTAGACTAATATTGTCTTTTCTCACGCTAGACTAATATTGTCTTTTTTTCACGCTAGACTACTATAGTCTTTTCTCACGCTAGACTACTATAGTTTTTTCTCACGCTTGTCTAATATTGTCTATGTCTCACGCTAGTCTAATATTGTCCATCTCTCATGCTAGAATAAATTGTAGTTCTAACACACTACAAAATTTTTTAATATTTTGCTCTCGAGTTTTAAAGTTGTTTAAATCCCAATTGTTATTCGTGAAGAATTATAATATTCTTATTCAACATGTGGTTGTTTGTTAAGAGAACTTGAATTGAATTTGAGAAAACTGAAATTGAATTGTTTTCAAAGGTTTGAAAATTGTCAGGAATATTCCAAGTTTTCCTTATAAGTCAAGAAATATCCACCAGGAAACCCCTCTAAATCTCAAATGCTCTAAATATGAATGTAATTTTCATTTACAAAATGTTACATATAATGATATACCCCGTTATTTTTGCAGAATGTTACCATTACCATGTTACCATTGGTCATAATTCATGATACCTATGCCATGTTAGCCTCATGGTTATAACTTATTCCATTTATTACATTATATAAAATGTTGATGATATGTTATTCTTAGGCCTCAATTTTACCCATTCCATATGCTCCTTCGCAAAGTGTTACTTAGATCACGTTGCCTATGCCATGTTATACACGGAAATTGAACGTAGATATCAAAAATGGTCTCAATCTTGAAAATCTGATTATAAACAACTCTGTAGACCCATTTACAAAATTGTACAAACAGAGATTTACTTTATTTTTACGAAATTTACTCACTCCAGTTGGAAACTTTAGAAGCCTATAAAATTGTCTTTTTTTTATCAACAAGCCTAAAGAATAAGAAATTGTACGTAGATTTTAAAAATGGTCTCAATTTTGAAAATCCGATTACAAACGAGTCTGTAGACCCTTTTTCCCCGTTTTTTGAGACACCCTGAATAGTGAATATAATTTACATTGCATATATTGCAATACAATGAAAACATCTAGGGTTTCCTCTTTGTAAGTCTAAAGATATTATAATTTCAATGAGATGATTATGAGTTGTCATTTTACTAACCTATTTTTAGATTCTTCACACCTATGATTAATTCACCCTGATTAAACATTTCGGACCTTGTCCCAGCAAGCTGTGACTTTCGATCCTAATTTCACAATCATCGTTTATACGCTATTTCTCTTTTATATTTTTTGTTGGCGTTTTTAAAGTTTAAAGTTTAAAGCCGGTTAAAAGAATTAAGTTTTTACCACAAACTCTGATTTGCTATGCCCTATATTTCTTCCATCCAATATTGTAGACCTTAGATATTTTAATTTGTACCGTTTGTTAAATCAAATATCATATAATAATGATACTTCCGGTCAGATTCGATCGTAACAACCAGATCAAGTCCTGGGGCCAGCATTATTTATTTTTAAAATAATATAAGTTTGAAATATAAAAGAATTTCACCATTAGGTTAGAAAAATATATGGATTAGAAAATTTGAGTTTGTGGCAAAGACTCAATTCTTTGATGACCAAAATGCAATTGAATTCAATTTGAATGAACCGAACACATCTCGCCGCCCTGGGTTAGTCCATCCACATTAATTTCACAAGAAAGAGATTATTCATTTGGTGTACCGTCCCGTTCTACAGTCTATAGCCTATGTATGTATTGTGTACTGTACAACAGTTGATGTATCTGCCTGTAAGTTAGTCCGGTAGTTTTCAGTTGTACGGTACATACTATATTATTATTATTATTATTATTATTATTATTATTATTAGTATTATTATTATTATTATTATACAAAAATAGTTTTCTACGACAGACCCCTAAATTTTCTTGTAAAAAAAGTAGAAAAAATAGTTTTTATGGATGCATAATTTATTGGTGGCATAACATTCAATAAGATATAAACAAATACACAGAGATTAGATTGTAGAAAAATGTTTTTTTTTTTTCGTTTTTTTTCTTGTTGCTTGAGTTAGTCGACATAAGTTGTTTTTAAGTACAAAGAATAAATACATATAATCAAAGTGACAATAAATGAGTGTTTAAAGCTTAGTCCGTATTCTTGCAAAGGTCGTCTTCATATCCATCTAAAAGTGGAAAGGTCGTCTTCATGATTGTCCATCTAGGCCGTTCTTTGTCCGTATTCTTTCAGAGATCGTCTTCATATCCGTCCATCTAGGTCTTTCTTAGTCCGTGTTCTTGCAGAGGTCGTCTTCATATCCGTCCATCTAGGCCTAATAGCCGTTGTATCTAGCCTAAAATATCAGATGATTAAAAAGAGGAAAATAATTGATAGATTTATTTTTGATTCTTTTTTTTAACTTGATTCCGCAAAGGAATAGAGTCTTTGCCACAAACTCTAATTTTCGAATCCCAATATCTTTGTAACCCAATGTAGGAGACCTTAGATATTTCGAACTATGAATTAAATTAGAATAAATAATATCAATAAGTTTGAAATATCAAAGGTCAACTACTATACATTCCAAAGATATGGAGGTTACAAATTTTAGTTTGCGGCATAGATTCAATTCCTTTGTTTTTTTTCTGTAAATCGATAACGGATATTTTCTTTTTTCTAGCTGAAAATTGAATGGCAGAAAACTCGAGTATACAATGGCAAGGAGTGCATTGTACACTTGAATGCATTTTAGATAAAAATAAGGATAACTCCGTCATCCTTCATCAAACAAAGCAGTAATGGGTCCTCTGTGAGTCGGATATTAAATTAGAAAACTAGGAGTGTCACTTGAAATTGTGTTAACAGTCCCTTTACACAACGATGATTTCGTGTAACAATGTGTTAAGTACTTTTAGGATTATTTTATTTAAAGGGACCGTAAGCGTAAATTTAACTGACCCTTTATGAAAAGATGACAATGTCCGATTTACAACGATACACGTACTTGAAAGCTTTATTAGATATTAATTTTTTTTGTTCATTTAAACTTGCAAAACTTGCAAATGTGACTTGCAGTTGCGCATTTCCAGCTTATAAGAAACAACGAAGTTTTAATTAGAGAATTAAACGAAGTTTTCTCCCACATTTTCAAGGGTGCTGTTGTAAATCAGAGGGTCATCTGAAATTACGCCTTCAGTCCCTTTAATATAGATTTATTTCCAGAATAATTGCACGTTTTGTATTTTCTGCTTTCTTTTCTATTTTTAAATTTTTACATTCTCATTTTTCATCAGCACTTTTCATCTTCAATACTTAATCCCATACAGGAGAATATATTTTCATCAGTTCCCTTTCTTATATGCTTAATCCCATACATGAGAATATATTTTCATCAGCACCCTTTCTTATATACTTAATCCCATACAGGAGAATGTATTTTCATCAGTACCTTTTCTTATATACTTAATCCCATACAGAAGAATATATTTTCATCAGTACCCTTTCTTTTATACTTAATCCCATACAGGAGAATATTTGTTCATCAGTACCCTTTCTTTTATGCTTAATCCCATTCAGGAGAATATATTTTCATCAGTACCCTTTCTTCTATACTTAGTCCCATACAGGAGAATGTATTTTCATCAGTACCCTTTCTTATATACTTAAACCCATACAGGAGAATATATTCTCATCAGTACCCTTTCTTATATACTTAATCCCATACAGGAGAATATATTTTCATCAGCACCCTTTCCTCTTTACTTAATCCCATACAGGAGAATATATTCTCATCAGTACCCTTTCTTCTATACTTAATCCCATACAGGAGAATATATTCTCATCAGTACCCTTTCTTATATACTTAATCCCATACAGGAGAATTTATTCTCATCAATACCCTTTCTTATATACTAAATCCCATACAGGAGAATATATTCTCATCAGTACTCTTTCTTCTATACTTAATCCAATACAGGAGAATATGTTTTCATCAGCACCCTATCTTCTATACTTAATCCCATACAGGAGAATAGATTTTCATCAGTACCCTTTCTAAAATACTTAATCCCATATAGAAGAATATATTTTCATCGGCACCCTTTCTTCTATACTTAATCCCATACAGGAGAATATATTCTCATCAGTATCCTTTCTTATATACTAAATCCCATACAGGAGAATAGATTTTCATCAGTACCATTTCTTATATACTTAATCCCATACAGGAGGATATATTCTCATCAGTACCCTTTCTTGTATACTTAATCCCATACAGGAGAATATATTTTAATCAGTGCCCTTTCTTATATACTTAATCCCATACAGGAGAATATATTTTCATCAGCACCCTTTCTTATATACTTAATCCCATACAGGAGAATAGATTTTCATCAG